AGTAGCCAGTGTAGCTGCCTGGGCAAAGTGAAGGCAGGCCCAAGGTTGGGAGAGTTGCAGGAGCAGAGCTGAGTCCCAGCACTGTAGCATAGCCAAGCTCGCCCTGCCACTTCACGTGAGCTGCTGTGCTGCAACTGCGAGTGTGTGTGCCCGGTGCTCATCCTTGGACAGGCAGGGAGAGCTGGGATGGGGATGAATATGGAGAAGGACATGCAGGGAGAGATGGGATGGGGATGCACATTTGGACAGGACAGGCAGAGAGAGCTAGGATGGAGTTGTACATTTATGCAGGAGAAGCAGAGATAGATGGGATGGGGATGTACATGAAGCAGGACAGGCAAGGAGAGCTGGGATGCAGATGCGCAGGGGCGCAGGATCCTCCCAAGCACAGGGGAGTATCCACACCTATGGATCAACCTCCCCATTTTGGGACATACTGGAAGTCACAGAGTGCATCTCCACATAGCCAATCTCTCCCACCTGAAGCTAACAGACTGTGGGACATGCACTGCAGTTGGGCAGCACAGACCAGCTCTCCCAGACAGCCACTAAGAGAGTGTGTGCACCTCTAACCTTGCTTGTCCTCCATCCTGGCCACCGGGACCTGCCCCGGCTGCTCGCACCCACAGGAGCATCCTGTTTCACACGGAAACATGCATGTCCCCATGGGACATGGGACCTGATCAGTGTCTATAAGTACCTCAAGGGAGGCAGTGAAGAGGATGGTGCTGGCCTCTTTTCAGTGGTGGCCACTGACAGAACTAGAGGTAATGGCCACAAACTGAAGCACCAAAAGTTCCACAGGAACTTAAGGGAAAAATGGCCCTGCAGGTTCCCGCACGCCTGCCAGCACATGTGGGCCATGTGCCGTCTGGCCTGGCCTTCCTCCCCACTCTGTGAAGCTGAGGAGGTCACAGGAGAGGAGATGCTACAGGGTCAGAAGGGAACATTTACCTGCCCCCTTCTGCAGCCCTTCACTGTTTACAGTGTCACCATCTCCTTGCCCCCCAGCACAGTCCTGTACACACGGCTGGTCAAGACAGAGGGAATGGGTATGCGCCTGCATGAATGTCATATAAATGTTCTCTTCCCTCTGCAGCTCAGCCTGAGCATCTGCCCTCTGCTGTGATGGTCCTGGGATCAGGGGCACTTGGAGCCAGCGGGCAGGGGTTGTGAAGGGCCATAGAGCAGAGCACATGTCCTCCTCATAGTCATCTTCTCTGTCAATTTACTGCTGTTCCTGGAGCTGCAGCAGTCTTTTGGGAGAGCTTGGGGAGTCAGTTTTGAGACTATGTCCTGGGCCAGGAGCTGCCTGCACCCTGCTCTGGGCTTAGCCCCATTCTCCAGCTCCATGTGCGACTACATCCTTCTGTGGTTTCAGTGCCGGACAAACCAGAGGATTTGGTTTTGGATCACTACACCGGGTTGCTGAAGTGGAAGGCGCTGCCCTCCTGCAAAGGGGAGATCCTTGGATACAAGGTACCAGGGTACCACGGCCTCACAGGGGATCTCCCTCACCTCTCCAGGGATGTCCTACCAGCGCAGCTTTAGACATACAAACTGGGGAGTTCTGCTCCCCAGCAGCTCTCTGTCCTTCCTCTAGCTCTCACAGCCAGGAGAGCACATGATGGCAGCTTCCTTGAATCCGAGCAGGTGACGGTGAACGCATCTGTCACTCAGTACCTGCTACCTCGTCAGAGACCTGGCAGCAAATACACTGTGGAAATCCAGGGCCTGACAGCAGCTGGTGCTGGGGATGCATCAATCCTGGAATTTCAAACATACATCTTGGGTAACTCAACATACATCTCGGGTAATTAAACCAAGAGGTACAGTCCTGCTTCAACTGAGTGCATCTTCTGGCCCCCAGAGCCAATGCATCATCTCTTGTTTGTGAGAGCAGAGCTGGCCCAACTCCTCCACCTAATTCAGACAAAAAGTGAGAGCACAGCAGACAGACAGGAGGAACAGTTCAGCATCCTTTTATATGAACCAGGAGCTGCAGCTGCAGAGCTGTGAAGTCATGCCTACAAGGCTTTTCATCACATCTAACATGTAACTTCTGCAGGAACAAATTGTGTTTCTTACCTTATGGCCCCCGAATAACACAAATCCCACCATAAAAACCGCCAGTCCCTGCATCAATATATGCTGGTAGCTTGGGGCTCAATAGTGCTGAGGCTGCTGAGACAGAAAGGCTGTGCATCCCATCTGGATCCTGGGTTGAAAGAGCTTCCAGTTCCTCCAGTCTTCTATGGGATGTGGGTCAACTCCCCCTGCTCTGGAGACCCCTTTTCCTGTTAACTGGAAGACCTGAAGGCAGGGCCTGGCCCTACCTCACTACCTGCCCCTTGCAGCATCCAGGATGGTAGAAAACATGCAGTGTGTGCACACATGTGCACACACCCAGTGCCAAGAGTGGGGGCCCTCCAGGACCCTCGCCCCAGGCTGTGACACCCATCCCGAGCTATGTGTTAGTTACAGGACAAGCCCTGGCTCCATGGCCTTGGATTGTGGTCACACTGATTGCTGCACTCTCAGCACTCGTCCTCCTGTGTGCAGGGATCCTGTGGTTTGTGCTGTCCAGGTGAGCATCTGGGGGGCCTGAATCACCTCTCTGTTGCTGCCTTGTGTGTTGGGGGGCAGATGGGGCTGGTGAGGGTCCTCTCCCCTGCTGTTCCCACCCTCTGGGTCGTGTGGATGCAGACGGGTAGTCCTACCCTGGCTTTGCTGTAGGGCTCCAGCCTGGGACTTGCAAGCATCTTCCTTAGGGCTGGGGCAGGGGCCATGGGCACTGAGGGACCGTCTTCCTTGTGGTTCTTCCTGCAACTGCTGCTGTCACCCGAGGAGCTGGTGGGCAACTCCTCTGGAAGTTCATGGGAGGCCAAAAGCAGTGGGGTATAAAGCCCTCCATCCCTCTGTTTTGGGGGTGGGCAGGGCTCTTGGCCATGTCAGCCTTGCCCCTCTCAGGATTGCCTTTGTCTTCCCAGGAAAAAGGTGGCCTTGATTGGCCAAGCCAAGGAGGAGCTTTACACAGGTAAGAGCCAGATGACTCCTTGGGGCCACCATTGCAGAGATGGCTGCGGTGCTGAGGTGGGCAGTAGGTGGTCTCCAGGATGTCCTGACCTTTGGCAGAAATATCTGCCCATCCTCCTCCATCCCGCGGTAGCTGCAGGGAGTCTGGCTGGTACTGGCCGACCTACCAGAGCAGTGTGCCCTATATCTGCCCTGTGACTTTCCCCTCCCCGCAAAGAGCTCCTGCCCAGTTGTCTTCTTGCTGGGGTCGTTAGTAGTGCCAGAGAGACCTGGTATCTCCTGGCCCTGTTTGCCCTGCCTGGGGAAGCAGCACCTCTGCTCTGCCCTGCATGTGCCTGCGCCACAGACTGTGTCAGCTGCCACGGCTTCTCCCTACCTGAATTTGCCTTGTTCCTTCTCCTCCCATCCCGCAAGCTGTTCATTCCCCTCCAACAGAGCTCCAGCCCTATGAAAACTTGGACTCTTACTCTGTGATCAAGAACTGTCCTCTGGCAGATAATGATGCAGATAGGACCCAGAGTGCCCTACCTGTCTCCCCACATACCTGCAGGAGAAGGTGAAGAGGGATCCTGCCTTGACATGCCCCGTGTTTGCTCCAGCTCTCTGATCCTGTGGACAGTCAAGATGACTGTCCCTGCTGGGCCCTAGGCTGCAGCTAAGCAGGGCTGCAGGCACATCTCCCCAGCCTGGCACAGTGGCAGGGACAAGCAAAGAGGAGCACCCAAAGGCGAGACTCGTCTCTTGCCCTTTGCAGGGCCCCAGGGCTGTGGGCAAGGCACAAGGGGGTCACTCACCCATGTGGTGAGGAAAGCTCTGCTGGGAAGGATTGCAGGAGGGACAGGCCCCAGGGGCTGGCTGCCCTGACCTGTGCTGAGGGCACATGGCAGCCTCTGCCCTGGTGCTGCCTGTCTCTGCAGGTGAACATGATGAGGCTAAAGAGCTGTCACTCTGTCTATATCCTCGGCCAGAGGAGATGAGAAGAACAGGGCAGCATCAGAAAAGATGAGGAAGATGATGTCAGCTCAGTGCTGATGGCAGCCGTCTCCCCATACCCTGCTGTGACTGCGGTCTTTTCACCCTGTGAAGCTGAAGAGGTCACGGGAGGGGAGATTCTACAGGGTCAGAAGGGAACATTTACCTGCCCCCTTCTGCAGCCCTTCACTGTTTACAGTGTCACCGTCTACTTGCCCCCCAGCACGGTCCTATTCACATGGCAATTTCAAATGAAGGAAACTGGTATGTGTCCAAGGGCATGTGCAGCAAGGACAGGACAGGTGGGGTGGGACCTGCTAAATGCAATCCCTCTGCAGCTCAACACAGGCATCTACATCCTGCAGTGATGGTCCTGGGATTGGGGCTTGCAAGGATCTGGGATAGGGGTTGTGCAGGGCACTAGAGCAGGGCACAGGCCCTCCTCACCCACCCCAGCACCCTGCTGCTGCAGCAGGACAGATGCCCTTTTGGATGCCAAAGCCTGCATGGGGGGCCGGCTGCAGACTGTGTCCCGGGCCAGGAGTCTCCTGCACCCTCCTCTGGGCTCATCCCCGTTCCCCAGCCCTGTGCATGACTCCGTCCTCCCTTGCTTCTAGTGCCGGACAAACCACAGAATCTGTCACTGGATACCAGCACTGGGTTGCTCAGGTGGCGCGCGCTGCCCTCCTGCAAAGGGGAGATCCTTGGATACCAGCCTCATAGCAGGGATCTGGGCTGAGAGGGAACCATGAAACACAAGAAAATGGCCTTGTCAAGGTAATTTCATTTGTTGACTGGCCCTCAGCAATACTTGGGAGCTTTTTGACCTCAGGGACCTACATTAAGGGGCATCAAGAGACACACGCATATGTGGATTTCTCTCCAGTCTTATGGCTGTGGCCCAGATTCCCAGGGCTTCCCATGTAGTGGCCCTGGGTGCAAACAGACAGAGCTGGTCTGGGCTGTGCAGCTGACCCGTGTGTCCATGCAGGAGCAGTGCACCTTCTTGTATGAGGTGTTGCTCGAAGGCCTGCTCTGCGGCAGTACCAGGGTCCCCATGGAGAGTATCATCAGCCACATCAGCCGCCTATGAGAAGCTGAGGCCCAGAGGCAGAACATGCTCGAGAAGGAGTTCAAGGTACTACGGGATCTCATTCTGGGGCAAGCTGTAGGGATCACAGATGTTACTTTGGGTGACTGTAAGGCAAGTCTCATCTTTACTAGGGGGATTTCAGCATAGGGCTCTCCTGCAGAGCTTGCTGATTGCTGGGCAGAGCCTCTCCCTCTGCATGTCTCCATGTCCTGAGGTGGGGTTGGTGAGCTGCCAGGCTCATGTCTTTGAAGCTGTGCCAAGGGTGGCTGCAAATGTAGCTCCTTTTGTTCTCGCTTCCTTTATCGCAAAGGAAAGTGCTGATTGGGCTGGTCTCTGGTATCAAGACCCACCTTTCTGCTCCCCTTCAGCAGTGGGAGGAAGATGAGGGATGCATTTGTTTGGGGACAGAGAAACAGGGAGAGAGGTGCTGATAGGCCAGAATGGTCTCCATCATGGGTGACTCTTGACAACCCTGTTTTCTCTCTTGC